CTACTACTACTACTACTACTACTAGTAGTATATATATATATATATATATATATATATATATATATATATATATATATATATATATATATATATATATATATATATATATATATATAGATTCATGTGTGTGTATATGCCTTTAAGTTCTCCTACTAAAGTCTCTGCTCCGTTCTTTCCCGCTCGCATCCACCGCAGGATCAAGCATTCTCAACACTCAACGGCTTTCTCGGGGGAGTGGCACAGTTGTTTGATGATGAGTTTAAAGTGGCCATTGAAATGACTGATAACCATTTGGGGCTGTCGCAGGTAGACACCACTCGCTTCCGCCGGGCCATATGGTTCTACATCCACCGGACATGTGGTATACTGCATGATGACTACGATTACTCGGAGGTGCGTGCGTGTGTATGTGCTTGTATTTGTGTTTATTTCTGTTTGTGTGCACGGTGTGTAGTTATATATTAGTGATCACTACCATACATAACGCTGTACTCTCACCCAATATATATATATATATATATATATATATATATTTATATACGCTCACATTTACCCTCCCACACATCCAAACCCACAGGTCAACAAACTCGTCGAGCGCCCCCTCAAATCATTCATCAAACGCATCACCTGCTATCCCAAGACCACCACCATGAAGGACTTTCTGGGCTGTCGGGCAGGCCTGAGAGATGCCGAGACAGTACACATCAGCATCCTCGCTACCGAGGCCAGGAAACAAGCCGAACTCCTGTTCTTCCTGCGCGCCTTGGCTGAGTATATGAACAGCTAGGCCGTGAGCGGCAAACGGTACGCCACACCCCACAGCTGCATTCAGGCGCACGTGGTGCGCATGTGCATGTGCGTGTGTGTGTGCTGGGTGTGTGCTATAGCGCGGTGAGGTGTGGACTATCGGAGGGTATGCCTCCTGGGACACACGCCGCATGTGTAGTATGCATGCGCTGAGTGTCTGCCATGGAAGCACGGGCGCAGCTATGAGTGGGTGTGGGAGGTGCATCGGCCAACTGGAGGGCAAATATGACCCTGTGTGGGGAGTTGAGGTGCAGTGTGCGAGTGCACATCGCCTTGGCAGTGTTTTGAGCTGGATACAAATCTCGGACCAGGCTGGAACCGTCCCGGGGACTCGTTGCCATGGCAATGGCGAAGCCGCTCTACTCGATACATACGCAATTTATGGCGGCGGATATAGACAACCGAACGGCCGCACAAAAGTATTCACAAATAGGACACAACTATCTGACCAATACGTGTGAGTGGATCAAACCATCTCTCACTGTACTACACTCTCCAGAAAGGACTCCTCTTCTCAGTGCCACGTCTTCGGCGCACGGTGAGGTACCCTTGAACTGAACTGTCCTGTCCTGTCCGAAAGTGAAGGATATGGTACTATGCGATATGATAGTATGCGATATGTGACTAGGTGACATCCCTGGCGGGTCGCCAGCGTCACTGAGGACTCGCTGTGCCACACCGTCTCGAACTACGGCACGAGTTCTCGATAGTATCGAGCACATACGCATACATACATACATACATACATACATACATACATACATACACACATACATACATACATACATACATACATACATACATACATACATACATACATACATACATACATACACACATACACATACACACACGCACGCACACACACACACACACACACACACACACACACTATTTATATATATATATAGACGTACACACCGACCTGTCTGCGTCTGCAACACTCCATATGTGTGGCTGGGTCGTGGTCTTGGGTCTTTATCTGGCCTGGTTTTGCCGGAGGCTTACCCACCAACACCTGTCTGATCGTTCTGACTGTGGTGTGCGTGCGTCCCCTTACGATATATACTCGACTAAGTACACTGTCGGTGTGGCAACAATCAGACCCCTCTACAGACCCCCTATTCGTATGTATCGGGTGGGGGGTGTATGTGCCCATGGCCTGTAGTCAGATGTAAGTCAGGTCGCTGCTTGACTCACAGGTCAGGTACACACACACACACAGGCAGACTCCTGCCCACACACACACACTACCGAGACGCTCGTACTTTTCTGACCCCTGTGGATAGTGTACATTGATATACACCAGGGCTTCTCGGGGGTTACCTACTACCTACCTACCTACCTACCTACCTACTTACGTACTCGCAATCAAAAAAAAAGGAAAAATATTAGTCAATAAAGTGTTGTTATGACACGAATCGGGTTATGTATGAGCAGGTGCTGCTGTGTCAGTTATTTGGGGAACGTGTTTGCAGATGTCTGTTGGCGTCCAAGCGTCTTGAACAAGGCACTACCCCGCCCTTAAGCCATTCATGCACGTCACTAGTTAGATGATGAGGCATGTGACTACCGTGAGAGCGTCATAGTTACTTCCGCCGTTTACCCGATGATCTCGGGTGGTTTATCCGATGATCTCGGGTGGTTTATCCGATGATCTCTGGTGGTTTATCCGATGATCTCTGGTGGTTTATCCGATGATCTCAGGTGGTTTATTCGATGATCTCTGGTGGTTTATCCGATGATCTCAGGTGGTTTATCCGATGATCTCAGGTGGTTTATCCGATGATCTCAGATCTTCGGTTAGGCTATGGTAAACCCTTAACCCCTCCCCCACTGTCTAGTACCGAAACTCGGGTTAGCTGCATCTCTACTACATTTTGCATCTCTGTAGACTCGAATGTTCTGAGACACTCGCTTCCTGCATGCTGGGATAATTATAAATAGGCTCAGCCTCTAGTAGTTTCAGTCTATATATCTGTTCAAGTGTAATCGACATCACTTACAATATCACTTTTGCGTTGGTTATTCCTATATGTCGGGGCTTTAAGTTGGGCATTTACTTTTTAAAGTTTGTACTGCTTCTATAAGGAGATGATGGGCTGTCCGAAGTTATTTAAGAACAGTTTATCAGAATTGTAGAGATGATTAGAAAGATGCGAGTATTTAAGTTTCGCATTTACTTTAACATTGTATTGCTCTTTTTATCTCTACAATTTGGGTATGCTTGGCTTTAAACTATAGAGCCCGTATCTTGCTAATTATCTCTATAATTCGGGTGAACTTTATAGTTTGGGCAAGCTTGGCTTGAGCTTGTTAACTTGTACAGCCTATATCTCCCTGTTTTTCTCTATTATTTGGGTAAAAGCTTGACCTCAAACTCGGACAACCCCTATGATCATCTCTATAATTCGGGTATTAAAGTATGATCATCTCTATAATTCGGGTATAAAAGTTTGGCTTTATCCTGTACATTGTACAGCATGCATTTATCCCACAAAGCCTTCACTGATGCTTAGTTCTCAAGTAGGCTCTAATAAGTTGTCCAAAACTCTAAAAACCCTACAGTATTACGCGCCTTGTCCACCTGCTCAGCGACTAGGGACGCTAGAAACCGGTGTAGCCTCTAGAAACCGTTACAGGTATAAACGTATATTTAGCTCGAGCCTGAATAGCCCAGGAACTCAGGCAAGGTAAACACAATTAAAAGTTATTCCTTTGCTGAGGAGAATTGTCATCGCATATCCAATAGCAAATCCAATAATTCCGGTCAAGATATACACAGTTCGACAATCATTCTCCAATTGTACAGAGTTTTGGCTGTAAATCGGATATTTAAGGTATTAAACGAGCACAGCGACAGCCCAGCATATTCACTCGTTGCATCAGGCCATGCATATTCTACACTCACACCTCCCTGAAAAAAAACCTCGGATTTTCGCGCACTATATTGTATCTAAAAGACTTCTATTCCGATTTAAACCCTTTTTGGCGCTAGAACCTATGTATAAGAACTGCACGGCATTTGGCAGTGAGTTCCGATTCGAGAGCATCCAGCGGTTATTAAAGCCATACACCAGTGGCAATTGCATCTGGTTAGATCGCCGATTTGCGCGGAAGAAATTAAACCCACAAATGCAGATATGAACATTTGGTTCACAAAACCGAAATCTTTCATTTATTTATGCGAATCTGCCTTCTATATATACAGCTTTTGAGCACCACATTCACTTAGCATTGATTTTCCCTTCCTTATAAGCCCCATATATACAAGCAATACATTCAATGAGTATATATATATATATCCCATTTACTTGGCAATGCCAATAACACCACACGCAGCTCGACCTCCAGCATGGCCAGTGGTCTTGGAGTCATCGTGACCTCCCTCTCCAAAGTCATCCGTGCCTTCGTGAACCTATGGCGTGGCAAAAGGTAACAGAAGATGCAAACAATGTATTGAGATTTGAATACAAGGAGGCTAAGGGGCAAACATGACAATTTTACATTGGATATAGACAGTGATGGTGATAATGTATACGTACTTTAGTACATGGTGTCTTATCTATACAATTATTTACAAATACCGTGTAACACTACATAAAAATACATACTTTCTCATGTGTACACGAATACATACAGGCATTCAACAACATGCGTACAAATCAACATACATAATCAATGATACCAGCAAGATACATACATACATACATATGTAAGTATACTATGTGTATATGTATATATAGAGGTATGCGATCACGTACAGATGTATATCATTCGATAAGGCTGACAATTCAACCACCGACTCCAGACATTCAGAATAGGTCAATGTGCTGCCGATGGTATAAACACTACCTTTACCAGCCCCATCAATCATAGTACGAGCCCACACCATCACACACACTATCCAAAGCATATAGCTCTGCCTACACCAAACCAGTATCCAGTAAAACACCCCTGCAATCACCTAAAACCATCTACCAACAGCCGTCTTTCCCCATATGCACAAGTAGATATGCAGCATGTAACGTGTATCGTATCCGACATACCACAACAGTGCGACCGATAATTCCAGACTTGCCGGCCAGCGCGATGTGCTTGTCGGTGATGTTGATAGTGGCCTTGCCGCTCTCATCAGCTGTGACGTTGCCGAGATCACCTGTACGCCCAGATGTATGTACAACCCCATCAGATACATTCAAACACAGAGGCTACGCATACAGGTATCTCTCTACATTCATCGTACGGTTGTGTGGTGTTTGATAGTGCACACGACTAGATCACCTGAGTACGGTAAAAAGTGTACTTAAACCAAAAGAAACCCTAGAACAAAAGCACTAAAAGCTATAACGTCCTTGTTGTGGTGTATAGGAATCGCCAGACGACACAGAGCACGATCAAGTATATTGCATTTTGCTCACCGCAGAAGCATGATCCACGAATGGGGGAACCCCATAACCCTAGTTCACACGGGGTTTTGGGATATATACTCAGAAGTCCTATATTATAACTGACTTCTATAGTATAACAGATTGAACCTATTTATAGCTTAATCTTGCTATGCATAAGATCTAGGCTATAGCCTATATAACAAATATCACCGATTGAATCTACCACAGAACGAATCTATATATTTTAACAGGCTGCTCTTACTATACCGAGAATCTAAATTATACTACAGCGCTAATCTATTTATAGTACACTCTTACTATACGGGAAATATAGAAATGTGGCTTAACGTATACCACGGAGTGAATCTATTTATAGCACACTCTTACTATACGGAAGTTATAGAAATGTGGCTCAACGTATACCCACGGAGTGAATCTATTTATAGCACACTCTTACTATACAGAAAATATAGGAAAGTGGCTTAACTTATAAATCTATTTATAGCTTACCGGCGTGTCGTTCGTTGTGGTTGGGGCCTCCGTGTTGCTTGCCCTCGGGGTTGAAGTGACCACCAGCGGATGTACAGCCCTGTCAACAGTCCATCATATACACAGTCAAAGATTAGTAAGACAGGCACCCTCTACATCTACATTCACAACGTACACGTCTACATACGTACATAATGTACACGGACTATACACATGTGCATAATGTACACGGACTATACACAGTCAAAGATTAGTGAGACAAAAACCCTGCATTCACAACGTACACGTCTACATACGTACATAATGTACACGCACTATACACATGTGCACAATGTACACAAAGTATACACACGTGCATAATGTACACGGACTATACACATGTGCATAATGTACACGTACTATACACATGTGCATAATGTACACAAAGTATACACACGTGCATAATGTACACAAAGTATACACATGTGCATAATGTCCACGGACTATACACATGTGTATAATGTAAATGGACTAAGCACATGCACATAATGTACACGGACTATACACGTATGCACACGGCCTATACACATGTGCATAATGTACACGGACTATACACATGTGCCATGCGACAATGCATATGCAGAGGTACGAACATGACTCAGAGGCAGCACACACCACCACAGTATAGGTGTACGTTCGGCGACACATAATATGTGCATCAATCCCTGATGCAGAGACTAGCACATAGGATAAGTGTAAATGCATACATATATGCCGGACAGAGTATTTGAGTTTAATGGAGGAATCTCAGACTCGATCAATTTATATTAGACTGATTATAGTTTAATAGTAAAGTAGCAAGTTATAAACACTATGTCGAATGTGTTCCGGTGCATATGGGTGTTTTCCGAATGAACATACTATCATCAATGTGGAAATTTGTCGCCTGACGCATGAAAGCAAATATTTACACAGATAGATATTGATATAAACATGTCCTCCAAGGTCAACAAACAAATAGATGTATCTTTCTACGTAACATTTATACCATAAAAGAATATGTAAAAATATACCATATTTCAATATATATATATATATGTATGAATGTATGTATGAAAGTATATATATGTATAAATACATATATATATAATTTAGTGTATATCATCATTATTGTCAATTTGTGAGCAGCTTACACACATAAATATACCTGTGTGTTGTCGCCGAACTGGTGAATGTGGAAGCCGTGCTCTCCTGGGGATAGTCCAGTGAGCTCGCCAGTGAGCACTAGGGAGTCGCCATCCTCCTTGAAGTGGATGGTGCCAGTCACCTTCTCACCTTTCATTACACATACAGCACTCATCTGTGCATGTAAAAGTATACCGTTTATCAATACATTGTAAAGTAATTATGTTTCGATACCAAGGATCAGTAATACGAAATAATGGGTACAAATCGCTCAATTGTATTCGTTCGACTTTTTAATAAGGAACATCGGAAAGTGAAACAGTGCGATATAAGACGTTCCGTGAGAAACGAAGTGTAACTTCGTCAATGGTGTCTGTATCGATAAAATTGTCATGTATATAGTTATATATAACCTTTCAATCTATGCATCTATAAACCTTTCATATATATATATATATATATATATATATATTATAGCTTATATATATATGTATTGCTTGCCCTCGGGGTTGAAACCTGTCTATGTAAAGTAAAGTGGTCGCACAGACCAGCCCATTATATAATCGACCAACTACTGACAGATATCTACTCAACTGTTTTAACGACTTATATTGCCTACCATACATCCACACACACCGAGAAGGAAGTATCAACTAGAAGTGCAAGATCACGTACTAACAATCAACCATACATCAATTAGAAAAGCAACAACACGTATTAAACATCAATCATACATCAAATAAGAAAGTAACACACGTATTAATCGAACATTAATTAGAAGTGCAACAACACGTCCTATCAACCAAACATCATTTAGAAAAGCAACAACATGCACTAACCGTCATCCATACATCAAATAAGAAAGCAACACACGTATTATCCATCAATTATACATTAATTAGAAGTGCAACAACACGTACGAACTATCAACCATACATCAATTAAAAAGCAACACACGTAATATCCATCAATCATACATTAATTAGTAGTGCAACAACACGTACTAACTATCAACCATACATCAAATAAGAAAGCAACACACGTATTATCCAATTCCGTCTTTATTCCGTCTGCTTACCTTGTCAAAGAAACTCTTTATCTAAAATCGCTCAATAATGGTTGTGGTAGGCTTTTCAAAGTTGTTTACGTTTTATATAAAACATCGATCATAATTAATGCTGCTTCCCCAAACATGGTCAATTAATCACACCCCTACGGCCTACTGGCCCTCTGCCTCCCACACCGCATTCTGCAGCCACTACGAGAGACTAGTGAGAAATAGTCATACAGAATAGTATAAATATGCCCCCGACATGTGGAGACTAAAAGTCTAAAATCAAACAGAATTTTGAGATTAATATTGTAAATTTGGAATAAGATAAGATTCTGATTTGTAAATAGGAGTGAACGTGGTGACTCAGTTTGTGACTAAGTGGTGAGTCACAGAGTCAGAGCCTCAGAGAGAATATTTATATTTTTTTAAATCTCTTGGAGCGCAATTATAGTAGACGTTGAGTCAATTGAGAGAGAAAGAGAGTAAAGGAGACCATTTATCATACCTCATTCATTTGAGAAATATCGTTTGTTTTTTACAAATAAAATATATATAGCCGTAAAAGGTTCGAGAAAATCCAGGATTTGACATTTTTGTTTATTACTTTTTTTATGTTGTTTATAAAACAAAACAAATATTCATGAATTTTTATCGTCAAATATATGTGTATAATACCTCTCCACGAAGGGCCTTTTTACAGGCTTTTATATCAATACCAAATTATTTAGTTTAAAGGAGGCCACTATATATGCAATTTCGTGTCGAGCAGAGCAGTGTGCACTGCTAAAGTCAAAAAGTTATACGTAGTGTAGATACTAAAGTCAAAAAGTTATACGTAGTGTAGATATATGTTGAACGTTAACAGATATTTTTTCAATTTATAAACGGTTAAACTTTTATTTATAAACTCATTTCTACATGGTCGAAATCGTTGATTTTGCACTTCAGAACTGCACCTATATTCAACAAAAGCCGACACATATATTATTTAGGACATAATATATGATCTCTAGAAAACTACACCTAAACAATATCGGTTGTTGTATATATGGTTTTAAAGTTTAACGTTAACCATTAATTTTTAAATTATAAACGGTTTAACGTAACACTTTTTTTAACATTAAGTGTGCAGTGCACACCAAGCTGTCCACGACTCCAAGAGTCCAAGGCCGCTGGGGCCTGGGCCTGGACTCTGGACTCCAGTCCTGGATTCTGAACCCTCACTCTTCTTGACCACTGGCACAAGACAAACGACAGTCCAAGACAAAGTGACCAGTCAGTCACCAGAGACTATAAGGGATGACCCACCCCCCAACTCCCAGTCCCCCACTTTCACCAGGCCTCTCTCTTCTTCTCTCTTCTCTTGTTGTTGTTGTTGTGTGTGGAAGTTATATATAATAAAATGAATGTATAAACAATGGTGTCTGACTTTTCACTTTTGACGATGTTATGGTATTTATTTACCACCCAGAGTCCCAGAGAGTTCACCACTCACGGGCCCTCGCCCCAAGCCCAAGGTCCCACGTCCCACGACCCACGGCCTGAAGTGGCCCAGGCCGCCCAGCGGTTAAAAAATACAGCTGATCACAAATCAGCTGACATTTTTTTCAAAAAGTATTTCGAATTTCTCTATTTTTGGAGATATGAAAATTTACTCACATATTTTTAAAATATTGTTGGAGTCGGAAAGTATTTACAGACAATTCGAGGACCGAGGACCGATGAGTTTGCTATGAAATACAAGTACTTATGTACAATTGTACATACTTGTTTTTTGTAACAAAACACAAAAACAATAATAATGACTATGTATCTACATTTATATTTTAATTACATTTTACCATAGCGGCATAGCCATCTATTTAAATTAAAAATTTAAAACAAAAACATATGTATTGTTTTGTTTTATATGTTTTGAAAATACTCGTATAGAAATATATGCATATTTTTGAGAAAAAATAATACATACTGCTACGTACATCAGTATATATGTACATACATAATAGATTTAAAAAAAAATCATTTTTAAAAAAAATATGTATTTATTTATCAACATATATTTATATTTGTTCTTCGTTTTGTCTAAATATCAAGAAGGCTATAATCGTTTTTTTTATTTATGTACTTTTTATATATTTTGCTATGTAAAAAAAAAGCCCCAATCCCATTTTCCGCGGACCCGGGAGTCTGGTTCTCCGGGAACCAGGTTCTTGTTGTATTTATGTATGTATTGAACTTCGAGCAGATTTTTTTGGTTTTTTACATGAGTCGTTTGTGTTTTCACTTTCCACTGTTCAAGTATTGCTATAAACTTAGTTTGTATATTTCATAATTTTCACATCTCGGCTCATCACTTCTCGAGTATCGACCGCGACGTCCTACTTCCATAGTACGGGAAAAGTGGTTTATGGTTTTATTTACCTTAGAAATTTGGACAACAATCGAGAAAGTATATATATATATTTTTTCTCTCGCTAGTCAGAGAGACTAGAGCAGTAGGCTCTACTATTTCTTTATAGACAAAATCGAGGTATTTTAGACCTAAAATCGAGACTCATTCACACTGAAAACCCCCTCTACAGCCGATTCTGTACCCCAAGCAAGTTTTTGACCACTATTGTCTAGGTTTTCGTCCAGAGAACAAAATAGATTTGCCCCCAAAATTTTAATTTTCAAAAAACAGAGATCGCCCGGTCGGCTGGAACATTACTTGCACCAATAGCGAGGACTTTGCCCAAGTGTGCTTTTTTTCTTCACATTCTTCAGCACCCCTCTCGTCTGTTGTTGAGTTGTCGACTGGACGCTGGTTGGTCGCTTGGTTTGAATTTGCATCGAACACTCTCGTCTCTCGTCTCTTGACTTTCGTGTTGGTAGCCAGGCAGTATCAGTAAACTCAGTACCGACTGTCATGTGATATCAAATCTGTCAGCATCAGTAAAAAATAAGTATTTGCAAACAAAGAAAACCGCATAATAACTATTGTTTGCCTAGAAGGAAAGGACAAGTAAGGGGGAATAATAATGCACAATACGGGTATCTAGTAGTAGACTGAAGGTGCAGGTGTACACATTTTTTGGTTCTAAAGTGTGACAGTATACAACATGGCGCTACGAGGTATCAGAGTTCTAGAGTTAGCTGGGCTAGCTCCAGGTCCGTTCGCGGGACTGATGCTTAAAGGTATTGTTA